GCAAAAAAGCGAATATACAAAGTGACTTACCTCCACAAGGCCTTAACCATTTTGAAAGCGGTTTTGTGGACCATTTCATGGAGTTTGGGGGTATCCGAACGAACCCACGCGCACGCCAAACGGACCAGAATGAGGCACTGAGAGCTTGTGAGGATGTGTGCAAAAAAGCGAATATACAAAGTGACCTACCTCCACGAGGCCTCAACCATTTCACAAACGGTTTGGTGGTCCGTTTTCAGGGAGTTTGGGGCTATCCGAACGAGCCCACGCACACGCCAAACGGTCCAGATTAAGGTACTGAGAGCTTGTGAGCATGAGTGCAAAAATGCGAATATACAAAGGGATACTTACCTCCATGGGAAGTTGACCGTTTTGTAAACGGTTTTGTGGAGCTTGTTCGTGGAATGCGTAGGTATTGAATCGAGTCCACACTCAAGCGAAACGGACTGCAGGAAGGTACTGAGAAGTTGTGAGGATAATGGTGAATATTCCGCTGATCAAAAGGAATGACTCACAAGTTGAGTCACGGAAATTTCCGAAAATGACGTACTTCCCTTGCGGGCTACCTTGCATTTTGAAGGTAGCCCGCAAAGGAAGTACGTCATTTTCGGGCAATGCCGTGACTCGTCTTTTTGCCCTAATGCCAACCTCTGCCCAGGACCTTCCTGTGGCTCGATTCGCTTCAACGTAGACTCGTTTGGATAGTGCTTCACGTCCCGAAAACGCTCCAAGAAACCGTTTACGAATCCGTCAACTCCTCGTGGAGGTATGTTTGTTTGTACTTTCGTGTTTTTGCACTTCTGCTAAACTCTGCTCAAGGCCTTCCTGTGCCTCAATTTCCTTCAACGTAGACTTGTTTAGATACTACTTCACGTCCCAAAAATGCTCCGACAAACCGTTTACGAAACCGTCAACTCTTCGTGGAGGTACGTCTATTTGTATTTTCGTGTTTTTGCACTTCTGCTAAACTCTGCCCAAGACCTTCCTGTGCATCGATTTCCATCAACGAAGACTTGTTTGGATACTACTTTACGTCCCGAAAATGCTCCGACAAACCGTTTACGAAACCGTCAACTCTTCGTGGAGGTACGTCTATTTGTATTTTCGTGTTTTTGCACTTCTGCTAAACTCTGCCCAAGACCTTCCTGTGCATCGATTTCCATCAACGAAGACTTGTTTGGATACTACTTTACGTCCCAAAAACGCTCCGACAAACCGTTTATGAAACCGTCAACTCGTCGTGGAGGTACGTCTATTTGTACTTTCATGTTTTTGCACTTCTGCTAAACTCTGCCCAAGACCTTCCTGTGCCTCGATTTCCCTGAATGTAGGCTTGTTTGGATAGTGCTTCACGTCCCGAAAATGCTCCAAGAAACCGTTTGCGAATCTGTCAACCCCTTGTGGAGGTACTTCTATTTGTACTTTCATGTTTTTTTGACTTATAATAAACTATGACCAGGACCTTCTTGTGGCTCAATTCCCTTCAGTGTAAACTCGTTTCGATACTACTACACATCCCAAAAATACTCCAACAAGCCATCTACGAATCCGTCATCCCTTCATGGAGGTATGTCTGTTTGTATTTTCATGTTTTTGCACTTATGGTGAACTCTGCCCATGACCTTCCTATGGCTCAATTTCTTTCAATGTGGACTCATTTGGACACTACTTCACATCTCAAAAATGCTCCAACAAACCACTTATGAATCTGTTGACCCTTTGTGGAGGTACATCTGTTTGTAATTTCGTGTTTTTTGAACTTATGCTAAACTCTGCCCAAGACCTTCCTGTGGCTCAATTCCCTTCAGTGTAGACTCATTTTGATACTACTACATGTGTGCAAGTAGTAGAGTAGCAGTGAGTACCCTTCACACCTTTAACACCAGTCTGTTCGATGGCAGCACCCCCTACATATTCCCCTTTGTTATTTTTAGTTGGTACATGCATTCCTGGTCATATCCTCAGGTTGCCCAGTATA